GGCTTCCCGGAGGCGGAACCCCAAAGTAGGACAGCGTCTCCTGTGTGGAGAGGCCGGGCCTGCCTCTGTGAAACTAAGCCCTGGGGGAGCAGCCGGGAGTGTGTGCTGCCTACAGACCTCGGCTCCACGGGGGAGAGAGGAGGGAGGGCTGGCCCACCCCTCCCCACACTCGCCTATCAAGCACCGCATCCCACCTGCTGGGAGGGGGCTGAGGGCGGCTGGAGGGCGTGCTAACCTGCCTTGTGTCCACCCTGGAGGAGGGGAACGTCCCACCCACGTGCTCCCTCGGGTGGGTGCGGTTGTCCCTGCGGGAAGGGTGCGTTTCCCCCTCTCGGTGGCCACCCTCCCTCAGCTCTGCCTGTTGACCTGCACTGAAGTCCACTCTTTCCAAGGGCCAGGGGTGCTCTTCGGGCGCCTGGGGGGTGGGGGCTGGGCGGCCCAGGAAGAGAAGTGGACTCTTATTTTGAGGTTTCAGTGTCCACCGGTTTGTCCTGGTGACAAGTTCGGACAGCAGTCCTGCTGCCTGCCCTCACGGAAGGTACCCCAAGAAGAAATCCAGTGGATGGATGTGCACAGGGAAAGCCCAATAGATTGTCTCCCAGAGGGGGCTGGCCTGGTGCTGCTGTGACTTGTCCTCTTCATGCATCTTGGTACCTGAAAACCAGTGGCCTTCACACCTGTGTCCTGCCTCTCCGTTGCCCATGTTGGCCATCCCGTGACCTTCCTTTTTAGCGTTAAAAAGTATGCCTCTCCCTCCCCATTCCCACAGGAGGAGAGACTCAAGGAACAAGAACCTTAGAAATCATTGAGTCCAAACACTTCGTGTTCCAGCCAACGAATCAGAGGCCCGGAGAGCGGGAGTGACATGTCCCGGTTTAACCTCTAATTAGTGGCAGAACCACAGCCCACATCCAGGTTTAACGCCACAGGCTGCACGCCCTCAGCTCCGCAGACAAGCTCGTGAACCGTTGCTGATACAGCACTAACCACAGTGGGCTCATCCCGTACCACACCATCACCAGCAGCAACTGGTTCTTTGTCATGTATCTTTTTTTTATTTTTTATTTTAAATATATTTTTATTGATTTCAGAGAGGAAGGGAGAAGGAGAGAGAGAAACATCAATGATGAGAGAGAATCATTGATCCGCTGCCTTCTGCACACCCCCCACTGGGGATGGAGCCCGCAACCCAGGCATGTGCCCTTGACTGGAATCGAACCTGGGACCCTTTGGTCCTCAGGCCGAGGCTCTATCCACTGAGCCAAACCAGCCAGGGCTGTCACGTATCTTTTAAAATGATTTCTCCCTGTGGCACCAGTCCTGCCAGAAACGTCCATGTAGAGGAGGGTGTGTCCCTCGGGCATTTGCTGTGGAAGGCAGCAGCCCACACTGTGCCACTTTATCTTTGGACCCTGAGCCTCGGGTCTATTAAAAGGTGAAAGTGAGACTAGACCTGGCTTGATGGATCCTTCAGATAGTTATCTGATCAGTGGCTCTAAGGGCTCAACCAGGTGACTTCGTCAAGTGCTTCCGGTCTGTATGTTTTAATACATAAGAGGTAGTGTTGCAAGTGCTGCCTCCGAGCCCTGCCCTAGCACACGCCTCTGGCTCCACGGTGCTCCCAGGCCTTGTGGCAGGAGGAGGAGAGACCTGAGAAACAGCAATTTGATAAGAAACCACAACAAAGGGTTTTTTAAGTGATAGCAGTGCCTGCTAACCAAAGACTTCAAATAAATTATGAGACTACGTTGGGAACCAACAGTCTTTAATATTAGACAAACAACATTAGTTCTGCCAAACGAAAGGTTATTGTCTTATGCGTCCCCTGTAGGAGGACAGTTTCTAAAACAGCCAGACTCAGTATTCTTGGAAAACATCAGGTTCAGATGGAAAATTCAGTATCGCATTGTGACATGAGTCAGCTATTTTTGTAATCACTCTTACATCCTTCAAGAATGCATTGTGGGGCCATTATGTGGCAGGTGCTTACCTGCGGGGCACAAAGATACCCCTTAAAGACTTTCAGAGGAACTACACAAAACCTGCCAATGTGATATTGAATTTTCCATCTCTGTAGTTTCTCTGAAAGGCTTTAATGGGTATCCTTGTGCCCAGCAGGTAAGCACCTGCCACGTAATGGCTGTGCAATGCATTCTTGGAGGATGTAAGAGTGATTACAAAAATAGCTGACTCATGTCTCAAACTGTCACCCAATCCTCTGAGCTTCAGTCCCGGACATTCAAGCCACCTCGGGGTGCCAGGGGTGCCAGGGATAGTGCCACCTAGTGAATTAATCATGCTGCTTCGTGTCCCAGTTCTGCTACCGGACTCCCCAACCTTCTTTCTCACACCCGGGCCAACTCAAACTAACACTTTGTGAAATCAGAGAAGGTGAGAACCTGAGATGGGGCCATAGGGCAGGCCCTTGAGAATGCGATATGCACGCGTACCATCACCATGCAGAACCGAGTGGAAAGTAGTGCCCGGCTGCTGTTAGAATAGATTTATTGCTACATTTATATACAATTATACAAACAGCCCAGACAGGAAGAGGAATGTTGCATCCGTGTCTCCAGATTTCACAGATGGGAGCAAGTAATCAGAGCTGTTGAAAAAGTGGAAAATTCTTGGAAATTCTCTCTCTCTCTCTCTCCGTACAAGCTAGTCATGCAGAGAAAAAGTGGGCTCTCAGAAGCTGGTGCCATCCGGCGCGCCTGGGGCACGGTGCTTTGGAGATGGGATGCAGTAGATGCTGGCTCAGGGCTGCCAGGAGCAACGCAGCGTCCTCCAGTCCCGGCCCATCTTTCCAAGCTGTGTCCCTACAAAAGGCAGCTGAGAGGGGTGTGGAGAGAGAGGAGATAACAAGAAAGGGAAACCAACAGTAAACAGATGTGGAGAGAACCCTCTGTAAGAGCCCTGGTTTCAGGACACGTGCCCATCCAGCTGAGACTCTGGCTTTGGGTGGGGGGTATTCACATTCAGAACATCAGGCATGTCTTGGTAAGTCTGTATCCCAAAGCTCGCCGTATGTCAGATGCCAGGGACCTGCATGAAGACATATAAAGGGAACAGGAAAGTTAAGTAAGAAAGAAGACAATGAGACAAATATTACCATAATAGGGTTGAAATGGGCACGAGACCCTGAAAACCTCTCCACAGGTCATAAGTAGCTGTTAGCTGGTTGCGTTCACTGTTGAATTACGAAGGCGAATGGATGCAACACCATGACGTACAGATTGCTCCCAGTGGGGTGGGCCACAGACTCTGCCCTCTGAGCTCAGCCAGGCTAGAATGATGTTTGGGAACCTAACATAGATCTTGCAACCTGCAGGTCCAGAATCTGGATGTGGATATGAGATCCCGGTATAAACACACTTCCTTTCACGTCAGTCATATAAACCTTTGTGACGTGAATCACCAGAGAGGTCGCAGAGCAGCCCGGGGGGTATGTGTGCCCAGGGGGTGAGCTCACTGAATTTACACCAGCTCCATCTTACCCTTGTCAGGCCACTCCCCAACCCCGGGGTCCAGGAGAGAGTGTCTTCAGGTCTAACCGCCTCCTGAGCTGAAATCAGCCTCGTTCTCAGAGAAAGGACAAGGCCTGCAGGTTGCAAGCAAGAAGCCTGTGGGTCTGAATACACCAGGCTGCAGGGCATCCTATCGCTGGAGAAACCACCAGCTCTGGCTTGCCTGTGCCTTTAGATGGCCCCCTGATTTCTCACCACCACAATCCCACAGGCCACAAAATGGCAGGATGAGAGTTTGATGGAGAAAGCCCAAAGTCTGGAGGAGAAGGACCAGAAAATCACTGAGAAGTCCCTGTCCTTTTTCTTGGGTCAGTAACATTATGATCACTTGTGGAGGGAGGGGCCCAGCACTTCTGAGGCTGCCCACTCTGAGCCAATTCTGTGATCCTTTGATAAATTCATCTCTGGATAACTCCAAATCTCTGTCATTTGATCTTGACTTTTCCGGTGAGTCAGTCAGAAAATTTACTTTCCTACTTCTGACAGCAACAGGATGGAGTCAAACTCACTTGAAGTCTTTGCTCTAAAAAGCAAAACCATTATCGGATAAAAGTCAGTGAGGAAAAACTGCAAGACATCAGGCAAATTTTAGTTTGGGGGATTTTACCAATCACAGACCATGGGGAGGCTGAGTCAGCAAGCTGAAGGAACTCAAAAGAACCATTCAAGATCTACAAGATAAACTGCATCGCTGTGGTTTTATTTAGAAAGGGGTGAGCCAACACAGTGTCTGCCAAAGAAATTAATGAATTGCAAAACAAGCTGCTGTCATGGTAATCACGTTGATCAATGATTTTTAAACATTTCCAAATTGAGATCAATGCATAACAGTAACCTGGCTTATGAACCAGTTCTGGAATTTGTTTACTCAATATGTATGTGTGGCCCTTCATTTTTAAGTATATCTAAATATTTTCTTAAAATAAGAGAAAAACCAACAGCAGCACACAAGTGGCCTATGTGTGAGCTCGCACCATAATACTCCCCATCAAGGGTGTTCCTTCACACAGGTAAGAGAACAGTCTAAAGCAGCCGGTGCAATCAGGCAGGATTATAAGTAAAATCTCAGTTGAATAAACTATCTGGCCCTAGCCTGTGTTTCTCAGTGGTTAGAGCACTGGCCTGCACACAGAAGGGTC